CAACCCACGATAAGGCCACAAGCGGTTAGAGGTGAAGGGGGGGGGGGGGACCTTAACCCAAAAGCTATAGTACAAAAATATCTTTATTAAGGTTAAGAAAAATGTCAGAATATTTAAGTAAGTATTTTGTTTTTCTAGGCATTTTTTCAGTCTTAAAATTAAGCAAATTGGGAGATTGTGTTGGGGAATAAGACAAAGGAGCTATGAGGGAAGAAAAGTAAAAGGCTAGTAGCTGGTAACACTATTAAAATGGAATATAAGAGAGAAATTTAAGTAGACCATACTAGTTGAAAACAATTACCAGGCTGCACTACGATATACAGGGGGAAGTTTAAAAATGGCCATTCCCTCATTACTGATTTTTTTTTAAACTCCTCACAGTCCACCAAGACTACATCCTTTACTACTAAGTATTGAAACTATGTACAAATTTAAACAACTTTTGCTCACAGACCCTGATATTAAAACAAGAGGGGCTTAAGCTGTTCTAATCCCAGGTTATACAGAGTTTTTCAGATCAAACTAGCCTTTTCAAATGTAACCAGAAACAAACCAGGGGCAAAAAAAAAAAAATCATTCTACATTAACAAGTATAATCAACATTTGGTCTAGTCTCCTAAAATGTGAGATCTGTACAGTGCTTTCAGAGGAGTGTAAAATCTCCCTGATGGCAAACTCTGGAGATGTTCTTGGGAGAGTAGTTCAGTGATTCCTAAACATTCTTAACTAAATTTTGTCAACAATCCATTAAGGCAGGGACGGGTAACTTTAATATTTGGAGGGGGATGAAGCTGCAAAGAGATGAGACACATTGCACATATGGGTAGGGGAAAACATTTGGAATTTATGTTTTTTAAAACTGTGATACTTCTTTGGATTTTTTAAAATTTGGTATGCACTTACATCTTAAGTGCAGTGTAAGACCTATTTTACCCCCACAACAACAGTCTTGTGAGGTACATTGGGCTGAAATAAAAATATTGACCCAAAGTCACCCAGTGAGCTTCCATGATCACTTCCTACATTCTATAACTGCATAAACCTCTTCATTCTTGTGCAACTGCTTTCATTTGAACTAAGTAATCTAGAAATTAGTAGGCAATGCTACCTCTTAAGATGCTGACAAAATTCAAGAGAGGGAAAAACCTTTATCTTCAGATGCTTGTCATTTACTAGACTGGAAAAAATGATGTGGGTTAAATTTCAGGCTTGGAACCCATGAGAAACAAGTTTTATTTTATTTTAGGCAATTGACAGGACAAATGTTTCCCATCTCACCCAAAACTTATTTATACTTTTATATCAGCATCTCTTGCATTTAAGATGAGCTACACTTTAAATAGGAATCCCAATTTCAGGGTCTACTTTATTTTGTACATTATCACACACAAGATGAGACATTCACCTTTGCACACAAACTGCATGTTTATTCCTGTTGGTCAATATCTGAATACATAAATAAAATGAAGCACTGGGTTTTTAGTCAGAAGAAAGTTCCTGAAATTATCTGTTGCAGTTGTTATTGGGAAAGAAGTTAGGACTCTTTACCTCTCTCCATTAACTCACTCTTGCTCAACTGATTCCTGCATCCTTTCTATCATGAAAACAGATTACCTTTATTTTTGGAAATTCAGATATTCTGGATAGTTTTGAGAGAATAGTTCAATTTATTTTTATTTATTTATTAAATTTATATGCTGCCCATCTCCCCCAGAGGATGACTCTGGGAGGCTCACAATTAAAATCAAACTTTAAAAAGAGTAAAAATATAAATATCCATATTAAATTAGCTAAAAAATACTAAATTAATAGCCTTTGATAGCTAGGATGCTACTTCAAGAACTGGAATGCACATTGAGAAAACGGAAAATAAAGATGTCCTCAAGTTAAGCTCCAATTCTGATGACCACATGGGCCACAAAGATGCAATTTTCTTAGCAACTCTACAGAAGTAGTTTGTCACTGCTTTCTTCCATTTTGTTTGTTTGTTTTACTTTACAATCTGGTTTATAGCCCTGTTATTCCTTGATAATCTTTCATCCAAGTACTAACCAGCCCAACTCTGTTTAGTTTCAAGTCCAGATTCCTACCCATTATTCTTTAGGTTGGCACTTCACTATTTGTATTATATCCCTTTCCCCTACTGGGACCCAAAGGAAACATTTATATATAAACAAAGAAAAAGGAGTAGGAAGCACTACCACAATGTCTAAGTGTTTGCTTAATATATTCCTTCCTTTGCAAATTTTGCTCCAATACCAGTTTTCTAGTGCCCTCCAGATATCCTGATATAAATATGAACATATCCTGATATAAATATGATCAATGAACATTGACAGTTTCAGTAAACCAGCAAATCATATCTGGCATCTCTATGTTTCCAGCCCCACCCACACCCATCTTTTCCAGAGTTCTCTCATTATTCTTATGTTAGCAACTTTTATACAGAGAAAACTAACTAGTTTTCAGATCTAATTTCCAATTCTTCCAGATGTCACTTGCAATACTATGCAGCACTGGCAGCTGGGAACATGTCTGAGATAATTGCTTTATCTGCCTATCTTCACAGAGGTAAGCATTGGGACTTGCTCTCATATAAATGTTTATGGAACTGCAGTTTTACCTACTTTAACTACATTCAGAAATACACAAGCAAAAACAACAGCTATAAATGCACCTTCTTGTCTACAAAGTGGAACATTTGATGAAAACTCAATCAAACAATTAATTATGAGTGGACCAGAAACTGACATACAGAAGTCAGCAAGAAATGAAAAAGTCTTCAATAACAGCCATATGAACCTGCTCTGTCTTTTCTAAAAGCATACAGTAGCTACTCTTTGTATACAAAACACATACGTGTTTATTATATTGAGGAAAACAAAACAAACCATAATACATCTTTAAAATATTCCATTAAAAATGCTGAGTTTGATGAGGATGACAAGATGCATTTCATATGGGTGAAAATACATATCCATCACTAGAGCTACTGTAGTGATTCCCTCCATCCATGCCCAGATAATTCAAACAATCCTAGAAGTTCATCAACATTTACAAATACCTGATGTCAAGACATGACCAAATGATCTACCTGCACTGACAAAAGAACTTCGGAAAGCAGCTATTAACAATCTTAATCACTTTAAATAACTGTATGTTCTTGACATTAAAAGAAAATATATTTTCAATAAAATAAAAAAAGAATTATTTAGAACTGATACTAATGATCAGAAATGTATTACATTTATTAGACTTATGCATTGATATTCAGAACATGGGCAAGAATAACAAAGATCCCTCAAATTTCAATTCTATAGCATCACTGAGATATGTGGCTTTAATTAAACCAATAAAATACTGCATCAGGATTAAAACAAAAAACAATTATCCACAATTGTGCATTTTTATATTTTGAAAGCTGCCGTGCTTTGGGTTTTCTCTAGAGCAGCTAGCTGAATGTTTGTCAGCAAAGGGTTCCTTCCAATTTGATGTAGGACAACTTTAAAAGAAATATTTTGACTATATGAAGACTATGGCATCCATTTTTAAAATTGAATATGTGTTCTCTCTTTTGGAGTCAGAGTGGGAAAGCAGAAAGGTAAATCTATGCTCTACCTTTTCATTGCCTACTCTTTCCCCAGCCGCAATCACTTACAAATTTGAGGGTTCACTATCAAAAACATGCCTTATCTCACTGAAGTGCTAAAACCGTATGGGCAGAAGTGGCATATCATTCACACTCTTTGCTCTGGACAACATAATGGGAAAGACTGGGCTCAATGATGCTGGAGAAGAGTAAGCGTGATGCTTATTTCTGCTCGCTCGTCCTCTTCTCTCTCTCAGTAGGGAAGGCTGGGATCATCAGCTGCCTTAGAAAGTCAATTATGGATGCTTTGAAAAGATAGCAATTTGTTATTTATTTATTATGAGTACTGCACTTTGTATTATCAATGAGAGAGGAAGATGTTTATGGCAGTTCCTGCCTCAGGTGCCGAAATAATTCACTGACCTTGGGACAGTCTACCTCTCTGAGGCAGCAAAATACCTTGTTCTTGTCTTGCTTACACTCCCGCCCTTATCCCTCCCATGCCTAATGGCAGAACCCTTTGGAAGGGCAGCACGGCTGGGTCAACCGGTGCTCTTTGCAGGCAACACTGCAGGCCCGAGTCCCGCCCGCTTTACCACCAGGCCCAGAGAGGCGAAAGACAGCAAAGCAAAGGAAGCCCTCTATCCCCGCAAAAAGGAACGCCTGCCTTCTCCGGCCCACACGCCCAGGGCATCCTTGCCGGCCCTCCTCTCCACCGCGCCGCCCTGAGCAGCAGGAGCAGTCGCTGCCTTCGCTCGCCCCCTTCAGCGTCCCGGATCCTGCGCTTACCGTGGCACCGCCCGGAGCGAAGGACAGGCAGCGGGAGACAGCGGCCGCTCATTTACCCCTTTCCGCGGGCCAGCGAGCATCAGGCCAGCGACCTCTCAAAACTAGAAGGAGGGATGGCCGGTGCCACAGCGCGGACCCGAAGCCAAGCGACCGGACTGAAACCTGACCTCCCAGAGGCTGCTCCGCTCAGCAAGGGCTGGACGCAGCCGGCGCCCACGGGCTTCTACGCGGTTCTGGGGCCTTCTAAGCGCCCTCCAACCCCACTCGGCTATACCCCAGCCTCCCACCACGCCGAATCCGAGAGCGCCTCCTCCGCAGCTCTCTTCGTGCCGAGTCTGCCCGGCTGAGCCCGCACCTCACCTGCCGGCGGCGAGGCGCCCAAGCTCCTCGGTCACACGCGCCGCAGAACATTTGTCATTTACACCCTCCCCCCCCCCACTGGCCGACAACAGCGGCGGCGGCGGCGGGGCCCTCCCCCCCCCCACTGGCCGACAACAGCGGCGGCGGCGGCGGCTCACGCCT